TGGGCCTTTTGCCGGTCGGATTTGTAAGGAACAGTTGCTTAGCCTTCCTTTCTGGAGGCATTCGCAACAATTCCGACTGAATAATTCTTTCATTTGAAATCAAAGGCACAGTTCAACATATCTTGCTGACCGGAAGTACACAGGAAATATTATGCTGTGAGTTGTATGGGAGCTTGCTCTGTGAGATCACTGCTTAAGGATCGACACAGCTGCTAAACAGACTTCTACCGTAACAACCGGAAGTCAACATTTCGAGGAACCCATCCAGCACAGCTGATTCATAAACGAAACAGGAAGGTGACGCGTTTCAGAGGTTGAACAGTTTCGGTATCTCGGCCTCAACATCATTACCGGTGGTGCGGTTTGGCCAAAGTTAGTCAAACAAGAGCCTCTCTTTAGCCTTGAGTGCTTTTGGAAAGGTTTCAATGTTTTGGTTGAGAAAGGAGCGTCTGTTTTTGTAAACGTTCACTGCGCAGTACCTCTATCAGATCAGCAGTTTTACGATTGGAGACAGTTGTTCTAATGAATGAGCAGAATCGACGTTGAAACTGCGAGTAGCAGCGACGCATAATGAGAGTTAAATGATAGAATCTCGTAAAGAATGATTCCATTCTCTTCCGGGCACATGTAACCTCGATAGCTGTGCTGATTAAGAAGAGGTGGTGGGCCCTGTTAGACTAACTGTTTGAGCATGATGCCATTTACTCTGGCCCGTGAGCATCTCACGTAGGAGCCGAAACACGGCAGATGTCGACCACGAGGCCAACGTGCAACATGGAAGCATACGAAACTGCTTTTAGAGTAGAATGGTACCTTCTACAGTGCAGCAACCGACGCCTTATTTTAAAAGAGTAGAAAAGCGAAGAATACAGTACAACAAACATTACCAGTCACAGACGTTCTGGTTATGCAAACTGCTCAGATCGGTGTTCTTGGTGAAGGGTGACAGCAAATTTTATACTATTCTGGCTATCATTAAAATTTATTTTCTGGGCCACTGGCTTTGTCTTCTGTCGACGAACATTTGGTGATTTATTTTCTGCTCTCCGTCATTCAGAATGAACATGGCTGAAATACTCTTTTTCCAGGAATATACAGGCAGCAGCTTTGAGTCTTTGTCGATCCACTATTTCAGAATGCCATTAAATGACAGATGATGTAAAAATCATTTTATTTACATTTCGTCCATCCTGTCACCAAATTAATAATATATGTTGAATAATTAACATCGTTGTGGGTTGTGAAGACTTCACGCATTAAATGTACTTTTCATTAATCCATCCAGCTCTTTCTTAATCTGTTACCAGTAGCACTGTTTATAAGTTTTCGACCTAAATCGTCAGCTGTTTTTGCGTCACGAACAATAAGCCATAATTTTTTGAATGTTCTATTTGTGATTTAAAATGTGACGATTTATATAATCAGTTATTATTTCAGCAGCAATTTCTATGGTTGGGAAGTGAAAAGCAAGCTTATTATTCCAGTCACCTCTAATGAGGATGGCATGAAGTATATTTGTCGGGCAACGAATCCGGCACTCAATCGAAGCATTAACGAGGCCATTTTTGTGCACGTAAAATGTAATAATGGCATGGTATCATTTTTATATTTTTCCTTATTCACAGCCACAGTTAATTACCTCGACATCTTATGTATAAGTGTAAAAATGAGCTTGCCAGGCACAACTACAACGAAACGATCAGTGAATTTTCTTGTCAGTCATTCACCTACCTGTTTAAATGTTCAGTATCAAGCGCATTATTTTATTCATACACATTGTTCTCCATTAAAAATTAAAGGAGACTATTAAAATTCTACTGTGTTGTTTTCAGAATAAATATTGCGAGGAGATTATTTTTTAATCATAAAACATTCTTCTCAACCTTTTTGCCTTGAATGTTTAAAAGATTCTCTTAACCCTAAATCATTATTGCCTCATCGTTCGACGTGGTTCATTAAAAACTTCCGATTGCCTTAGAGATTAGAGAGTTTCTGCTACAGAGTTCTTCATCTTGGCCTGAAATACTTTTCGTTGGTCTTTGGCCGTTTTTTAGGCAAATATCGGCTTCAGAAAACGCTCTTATCGCTTTGATCTAGCGTTTGTTAGTGCGACTAGATCTACAGGTCCATTTGGCATAGCTTCTTGAAGTATCTGTCCCAGTTTCACGGGGAGTATGGTTCGAAATGTTGGAAGCAATAACTCATTTTTGCGAATTCAGTTATGCCATGGAAATATGTTGTTACTTATCATAATTGAAACGCTGTCCTTCTCTAAGTCAGCGGATTAGCTCTGACGTCCACATATACACATAAATTGCATTAAAGATTGACATGTAGTTGTTTGTTGTGACCATCGCATTCAGCAGTTCGTCAAGTCCTTACTAGCGGAACGAATTATGATTACTCTGGCTAAACGTTATTATTTTCATTTCACCTAGTTTACTGTAAGCACTGATTGCAGGTAAGAAGGAAGAACAGTTACTTTCAAAACATGCCTACATCTCAAATTCATCCATGTAGCATGTTAACCTCCTTGCCGACAGCTACAGTGTGTCAGTTTTAGAATCTTACGGGACAGATTGTTATACTGATCAATTTAACGGTTTCTTTTTTGTGTTGATTGGTTTTACTGAAGATATCACATCCTCGAAACTGAAGTGTCCTCCGTTGCACGGTGGTACTATATAATCCTTATTATGTGGGCTGTGGCAGTTAACTGTAAACGCGAATGAATATCTATTCGTTTTCTACTTCAGATGCTCCACAGTTTTTTTGGACGGGGCTGCAGTCTATCACCGTACTGGAAAACGAATCTGTGATTCTGAACGCGTCAGCGAAAGCTAATCCCATGCCGATCTCTTATGAGTGGACGAAGAGTATCGGGTCGTTCAGCTCTAGGTCTGCAAGGCCTTCTGCCGGATCTGGCATTGATGGACCGTTCATGAACTTCACTCGGATTTCCCGTAGGGATGCCGGTGAATTCAAGTGCAAAGCTACTAATGCGGAGGGGTCGTCGATTTTAACGTTTCACGTCCAAGTAAAATGTAATGCCTCTATTCTTTGCTGCTGATGTTATGCTCTATCAAAATTAATTTAGTCCCGCCGGATATCTACCATATGACCGACTTGGTGTTTGCGCGTGAAAATGGTACGGCTGATTTGGAATGCGGCGTTGACGCGTTTCCGTTCAATAACATAACTGCCCACTGGGACGTGGAAGACAACGCTGTTGCACTGCGATTCCGACAACGACTCTCAGGAAACAAGGCCATACTTCATTTCGACAGGGTCATTAGAACGGACCATGGCGAATACATTTGCTCTGCTAACAACGGCATTGGAAAGCCCTTGAAGAGATCCGCTTTTCTCGCAGTGAGACGTAAGCAAAATGACTTCTTTGTGCGTTTGCAGAAGCAAACATTTTGCCTTGTCGAAAATTGTTTTTTTTAATATAAGCCAACTTAAAAACAATTGAAAAGCCTGAAATAATTCATTATTTGGCATTGGAGAACTTTTCGGCCTAATGTCTCGTTTTCCGTTTTCAACGCACATGAACATATTTTAGGGTCGCAAAAATGCTGCGGCTCTAAGTAATGATTTTCTTTATTTTCTTCATTTTGTTTGATTGAGGAGCAGTGCCGACGATTCCAGTTTCGATCGTTTGCCAGTTCATCTACCATGCGACCGCATTTGAATCTGTACATTCCAACGATATGGAAGATCTTAAAATGCTAAAATTGCCTGGACGCATCGTTTTCCTTATTGAGGAGATATATGTTGGAGGCCATCTTTGCTAGTAAAATTGACGCGGTGCTATTTCAGTGTTCCATACTAATTGAGCAGTTCACCAGTTCAGTACGAGATGCGAATTCTTCATGTTTCCTGCTCTGTGACAATTTTAACAGAAAATTTTATTTTTAGCCCATTTTTCACGTTACCTGTGGAAGGACATTGATTCTTAAAATGACCCCATCAGTCAACAGTGCAATTTTTGATAATGTTTTGCTTGGCGCTTTCATTTTCAAAAGCTTTATCTATTTAGATGATAATATTAACCGATCGAGCACTGGTTTATGTTCATTAATAATTATTCAGCCGAAAAAGGATTATGTTCTCTCAAAAGTTGTTATTGCTTATTAACATATGACTTACTTTTTCATGGCCATCTGGTATTTAGCACTGGCGACGATGGGGCTTCCTCAGACATTTTTTACTGTTCACTTACTTGAAGCATTCAAATAAAAACTGATCTCAGAATAGCCTTCTTGAGTGAACAGTAGTAGTAGGTATCAGTTTTACCGCAGTTTCAAATACTAGGAAATCCACATATAGCTATTTATATTTACATAATAAGTAAATCAGACAGTGAGAAACTTATGCACTTCACTTCGACATGCATTTTTCGTTTAAGATTTGCCCGTCATTAACCGAACAGCGTCTGGAACAAAAGTAGCCTCAGCGCGAAATCGATCCGCGAACCTGCGCTGCGCCGTTGTAGCTGTCCCCTCATCAACGATCACATGGCGAAGAAATGGCATTCAGCTGGAAAATGGTTCAAAGTACAAAATCATCTCTACGGAACGCGATCGTTTTCAACAGGAAGTACGTGATTGGTCGTTGATTACACCAACCTAACGGGTTTGTTATCATCTTTCTTCAGAGCATTCTGACAATCGCTCATGTGTTCGAAACGGATTACGGCTTTTACGACTGTGTGGCTCGCAACGAAGAGGGCTTGGACAGGCACATCATGCAGCTAACCGCTCTGCGTAAGTTTCGGCAACTGTTTTTTTTTAATTACCGCAGTTCTGGTGACCTATTATAGGTAATGATGATGAAAACATTTGGGCGGGTAAATGAGATAAAATTAACAAGTGATAAGTTTTAGGCTGTATAAATATTATATTTCATGAGTTTGGCTATTTTCTTGGTATCTGATTTTGCTTATTTTCTTCAAATTGAGCATAAAACCACTCATGGTTTAGCTGTTACATAGCATGATTCAATCTTGCTCGCTACGGAATTAATTATAGACGGTAGTTCAAATTTCTGAGCCTCCCGTATCAGTTTTGTGCCTAGGATTATTTCAGGAGGATTTTTCAGGAGGATGGTACGAAGATAGATTTATGAAGAAATTCTTTCTACTGATTATTACTAGTTCAATCTTCATTGTTTTTCGGTCATTGGCCGTGTCTTTCAAACTTACACTGGTTGAACTTTCATTTTAAGGTGTTACTGGTGTCTCATTTGATTCAGTCACTGAAGATTCTCGTCATATCCAAGCTTGGCTACACGTTGCTTCAGTTTGACTGACATTTTGATTTCAGAAACCTATTTCAATTGCACACAGCAGTAAGCATATTATGATTATAATTTTACCGTTCCACTCACACTCCATGAAATGTAACATATTGGTAACTGTATGACAACGTATCTTCATTCATACCCTTTACGGAGAGTTAAAGAGCTGCAGTACTCTGCCTACAGTCTTGTCTTTGAAACAAGGTCACCTTCTGCAGTCCTTCTTCCTTGGGCGCCTCATCAGTTGACTCTGGTAGGCGCCAATGGCACTTTTTCACTGCTCCAAAGGCACCGACCACCAAAATAATTTTTTCCCAGATGTTCTCATCACTATTTCTTAATTTTCTGTATCTTTATTTTCTCTTTAACAACAATGTTACCATCAGCCGGGCATGCTATATCAACTATTTGTCCCTCCTCCACCTCTCCCCTCTCCTTTACCGTTTGTCAACTATCACGATATCTAGACCATGCGCCGATACCTCTTTGTCGGTTTGCGTTGGGACGTACCAGAGTATTTTCACATGCATGGTGCCTTCCACTGCTTCCCGCTGATGTTTTCAGGGGAATGCTTTGCCATCGATAAACAGGCTTGCTTTCATAAATGCTAATGAACTAAACGTGCAGACTTGTTGTGCTTGTCCTTGTATTTTCAATTCGCGCCTGTTTCATGGCCGGAAACTGTATGGGTCAAAGTCTGATCCTTCAACTGATACATTGTGCATTTTGCTTCTTGCTGCATGTGCAGCGTCTTTACTTTGTACGGATCCTTGTTCAGTGCTTAGACTTAGGGGGCTATTCGAATGGCTTTCTTTTCTCCATAGAGTTCTCTTCTTGATAGACACTTGAAGAAGATACTGTCCATCAAGAACTTCATTCTTCCCACCATTGTATCAGCGTTAAGTACGATTTACTGATGATCTTCTGCATTTCCAGCTAATTGCTGTTCTACTTCGCACAGACCGTTATTAGATATTTCCTTCGAAATAATGTCCTTAGTTACAGCATGACTTTGGCACTATGAAACACTGGCTTTCATTTTTGGAACATGCAGCCTGTAGTCCGTCCGTATCTGCCTTTAGATATTCCACGCCTTACACGTTCAATAGATTTCATACTTTCTATATAGTTCTAGTGTTTCCACTTGCGTCTAGTCGACAATGCCTGCTACATAGACAAACACTGGAGCAGTATATTTGTAAATAACCAGAATTCCGTTCTTCCAGCAAATCTTGTTCTTCAGGATTTTGCGGAATCACTTCTATCCCGTTTTTGTCGTGTATTTTATTTTACCATCAGTAAAATCACTCTCGCTTTTCCAGGTCTTTCTCTTAATTTTGTCTGTGACATTCTAAAAATTCCATCTGATATCTTACAGAATGTTACAGAGAAGATTCATGCGCTTTGGATCAGATTATCCTTTTGTTCTCCCGATATTTCGCGCAACTTCAGGTCGTGCATGTGCAGCAGGTGCAATGTTTTACCGCGGTTACGCAACTTCGCTGCTATTCAACGAACAACTGAGCTGATTTAATGCTAAACCAAAAACGAAAGAGGGGAGAGATCTCCCTGGAAGATTCTTCATTTGATCTTCATCGATCCCAAAAAAACTTTGTTTCACCGCTGGATTGTTTGTTCTTCTTCCACAAACTTTATTAGGCCCCGACTGCAGCTTCAAGCATTCCAGGATCCAGTTGTTAGATTTAGTTCCTCCTAAATTCGATCAATCAATGATATGTTGTTCTTTCTCATTTTGCAATCCGAATGTAGCTCCTTGTCCAAATAACATATAGGTCATAGGGGTAGGTCCTTAGGTCATCACCTTGATTTCGCTCAGCAGCCTTTTATTAAGAAGGTATGATGTTATTCGCTTCTGAACGGGCGTAAGCTGTAGTGACCACTGTAGTGTAAGGAGTTTCCTGATCGTGGGAAAAAGGCTCGTGATCGCTCTGTGGTTAGTCACGGCACCATATCCCGGTTTTCTTCTTTCAAAACTTGGTGTGCCAGTCTATCTATTAACCATTATGGTAATCCTTCTTCAAACACTCTGTAAGAATACTGCTATTCAAGAGTGCCTACACGTAAGTCATTAAAACCTGAACTCATGAGCCTGATCCGTACTTGCTGATTCTGATGCTGCCCAGGTTTTCATCTTTTGGTGGTTCTGACCTCTTTTTATTCCTAGATTCCGTTTGCATTTTTTGTATTTCGCTTACCCCCTTAGCTTCTATATTTTTGATTTTCGCAATGTTCCATATCCTTCACCAGAACGTAAGCGATTTTTCTGTTAGTTCAAACGTCTATGCATTTATTATGGGTTTATGTTTTGCTCTGTCTTTCTATGAATAAGACTATTGCAGTTCGAAAAATGGTCCTGTTCTCTTTGTATTGCTTGAACTTGTTCATATCTTAATCTTTAACGATGCGACTAACAACCTTTGCTTGAAATTCTCTCATGCATCTCTGAATTTTTTTTGTTTGATCCAGTCCACTACTTTATTATATCTGTCGTTGATCTTTTTTATGCTGCCAGTGTTTAGTTGCGGTAGTTGGTATACTGTCCTGCATTTTTTTACCTGTTTGTTCTTCATTCTTCTCAACATTGGTGGCTCTTCTTTTCTTCTGAGATTTGATTACTGATTAAACCAAGTTTCTTAGTTATCAGTGCAGCTGTCACGTATCACATCATCGATGGACTTCAAATTACTGCTTAATATCATCCTCAGGAAATTTCCAACCTGATTAATACATATATGCAACATTTTCTTG